AGAAACAAAGGCTGTTGCTGATGCCTACCTAGACTAATTGTCTAATTCTATGTCGTCTCAACTCTCAATATGACAATATGTCATTATTAAATACAAGTACTAAAAAGACAAAGCATTTTGATATACGGAGTAGTGTAGACAGAACCGTAATTGACAGTAATTTGTATAGAATTTGATTTCTAATGATTGGATATCTATCTGATCAGTTAATAAGGATTTACCAAATAAGTTTACTCACATCCACAAATAATATTAACATGCCAACATTGTATTAAAAAAATTGGATTGTTCTTGCTCTAACTAGGTGCGGCTATAAAAGCACGGTAGCCATAAGTCGGGTCATGCGTTGGGCCGTTGGACATCTTCCCTTAATGTCTTAATAGTCCATGTCATAAATGAGATAAGAGCGGTCAAGTGCACGACATTTGTGTCATGTTGGGCTTGTGTCAATCTTCTAAGAGTGACGTGGGTTCGTCCAAGAGGCAAGATTTAATATATGTATTAGGTAATTGTGTCGTTCCCCGAAGCCCCATTAATTAGATCATGCTAATCAATTAAAAATATACAAATTGACCCAACCTGCGTGCTCACAAAATTACAGAAAAAAAGTGTTCTTTTACGATCCTTTGATGAGCCTTCATACCGTGTCAGGTTTACAATGGGAACCCATTAGCCACCCTACCTTATTCACAAATGTAGCCTTGTTAGAGAGAGCAGTGGCTAATGGTGGCCTTTTAACAAGCGCAATTTCAAACAATCACTATATTATTCGCGATTCTGACATATATTGAAGACATAAACTCCCTCTGATTTATTGCAACTGTCCCACTTTGATTGATATATATGCATATGTTAATGCAAAAATCTAGCCAATAATATCTTTAATTATTAATAAATGTAAATCAAGAAAAGTTAATATTTGAAAACTATATATATTTTGAGATGATTCAAGTGAGTGTTAATATAACTTTATTTTTTCATATAGATCACTAACAATATTAATTACGGAGTAAAAGTGGATTTTATGAATAGTGTAAAAATATAAAATGTCAAAATAAGACAAATTATTTAACCACTAGGTTGATACTTTATGGTTTATTTATTTAAAGTTAAAAAAAATAAGCAAAAATCTCAAACACAAACAACGTGGTTACATTCAGTCTTAACCATATACTTTACCAATCTATAATCTCTCCTTTTTTTTTTTAATACAACTGTTAAGATGAAGGTAGGTTGAGCTGTCCCTTTTTACCAACAAGTATAATGCTTCTAAATATTTTACAACCAAGAAGTTGTAAATGGAAATACTTTAGTGACTTATATGCTTAAAGAGACAAGTAAAGAATTTTATGTTACATCACTTACATAGTTACATACATCATACATTCAATACATGTACGAGAGTACTACATCTTGTTAGTTTTTTTTTTTTTTTTTTTTTTTTTTTTTTTTTTTTTTTTTTTTTTTTTTTGACAAAGATCAACTCAAAAAAAAAGAAAGAAAGAAAAAAAAAACTAACTAAAAGGAAAAACTTAGTAGCTATCGCCTCCTAGCTGATGTAGCCAGCTGATGGGCCGGAAGAACACCAGGTCGAGAAACCTTCTGAATATAACATGCCTGAAAAGAAGGAAGAATTTCCCGAAGTTGACGCTGAATCCAAACGGTAGAGATGTCTTTGGACGAATTCCGCAATGCCAAAATAGAAACCGTACAATCAGTACGAATCAGAATTCTAGAGAACCCCCACTGAAGAGCCATACGTAACCCAAAGAGACATGCAAGCAATTCGGCTTGTAAAGCGGAAAGAGCAAAACAGGCTCAAGCAGCACCACCTAAATTGACATCGGAAACCAAAGAATAGAAACACCAGCCAATACCTGCTCTGCAATCCCCTGAATTCCAAGCTCCATCCACAATAAGAACCACAATAGGCATAATATCATCTTGACCAACAAGTTGAAATGAAGTAGGCAAAGAACTGAAACCAGGAGGAAGGGTATGAACTAAGAAAGAAGCATCACGAGCAGCCGAGCTACGGTGCTTCCAATCTTGAACTATCTGAGAAACCTGAAACGGAGAACAAACTTCTTGTCTGAAACGAATGTTGTTTCGATGAACCCATATTGCCCAAACAAAAGACAAAATCAGATCCAAAGCATCCCAATCCTTTAGAGTAATAACAGAGGTGATTAAGGAAGCAAACCACTGGTGAAAAGAGAGAACAGGAACAGGAAGGCGAACACCCAAAGGACCACAAACCCAGAGGCGAGAAGTAAAAGAACATTGAAGGAAAAGATGGTCGATAGTCTCAGGAAACAAATGGCAAAAAGAACAATTTTGCTCTACTGGGAGACCCTTACGTTGTAATGTAGATGCCATAGGAAGGGCATGATGAAAGACTTTCCAGATAAACATCTTCCATTTAGGAAGAATAGGTAAATGCCAGATCCTGTTCCAATTAAGAGAAGAAGGCTGAGAGCTAGCCTGAAAGATCCCCTCCGAAGATTTAACTAACTGAGCATAAGCTGATTTGGTGGAGAACATACCATCTTTAGTAAATTTCCAGTACACATAATCATCCATAAGCTGCGGCGGACGTTCAAGACTAAGGATCTTGGAAGCTGTGGAAGAAGGGAATAAAGTATGAACTAAAGTAGCACCCCAAGCATTAGAAATAGGATCCAAAAGAGAAGACACTAGAATCGACTTAACCGAACCAGCAAAGGAATCCTTAAATAGAACAGGGGTACCAGGCACCTAGGAATCCTGAAGGATACGAACCCAAGAACCATTCCCAATCTTCCAAATCAAACCAGGTTTCAAAGTCTGAAGACCGTGAATAACACTTCTACAACCCCAGGAACACTTAGAAATGCGACTCTCAGATTGGAGACAGAGAAGCGAAGGATATTTTGCTCGAAAAACTTTTGACACCAGAAGCTGCGGATTCTGAAGAATACGCCAAGTCTGTTTAGCTAACAGGGCGGAATTAAAAAAACTCAGATGCCGAATACCCAAACCACCCATTCCTTTAGGTGTAAACAAAAGAGAAGAAGGAACAAGAGCTAAACCCTTAGAATTATTACTCGTCTTCCACCAAAATCTGACCAACATGTTATTAATTTTATCTGTGATGAAAGAAGGAATCTTAAACACTAAAAGGACGTGATTGAGAGAAGCCACCAAAACACAGTTAATCACCACTAATTTGGCAGCTGAAGAAAGATGCAAAGGAGCCAAATTTGTCAGACGAGAAGCTATTTTATCAACCAGAGGCTGAAAGACTTTACGTTTACTTCTTTCCATATCAACCGGGAGACCCAAGTAAGGACCGAGAGATGGAAGAGCCTTTAAACGAAGGGAGGAAGCTAGAAAATCTCGGTAATCATCAGGAACATTGGGACTAAAACGAACAAACGATTTTTGTAAATTAATCATCTGACCTGAAAGATCGCAGAATTGATGCACCACTTGAAGTACATTTGAGCATGCGACAGGAGAAGGGCGAAAAAACAAAAGAGAATCATCCGCAAAGAAAAGATGGGAAATAGAAGGGGCGTGACGAGAAACTTGAATCCCTTTAAAAAGTGTGTCCCTTTCCGCTCTTCGAATCATAGCTGAAAAAATCTCCATACATAGAACGAAAAGGTAAGAAGAAAGAGGATCTCCTTGACGAAGTCCACACGCCGGTCTAAAAACTTTAGATGGATTACCATTAACCAGCATCTGATAGGAAACCGACGTAACACACTGAAGAATAATATGAATCCAAGAAGGGGGAAAACCAAAAGACTGGAGCACAAGCCGCAAAAAGTGCCAACTGACCCTATCATATGCCTTGTTCATATCAAGTTTGAGGGCAGCTGACATAGAACGACCCCTAGATTGATTCATATATGAAAGAACCTCATGAGCAAGAAGACTATCATCAGACATAAGACGGCCAGGAACAAATGCAGTCTGACAATCAGAAACCAGAGAGGGAAGCACCAGACGAAGACGAGAGGAGATACATTTAGCTATGCATTTGTAAAGAACATTGCATAACCCTATAGGCCGAAACTGGGAAGGATGCTGGGGAAGATCCACTTTAGGAATAAGAACTATGAAGCTACGATTCCACTCTTTAAGCATGTGACCATGTAAAAAGAAATACTGAATAGCCGATATGACGGAGGGTCCAACCATAGACCAGTGAGACTTAAAAAAAGCTGAAGTAAAGCCATCTGGACCCGGAGATTTAAAGTCATCAATGCTAAACATAGCATTCTTGATATCCGTCGCAGAAAAAGGAGTCAGAAGACTGTACTTCTGTTGATCCGAAAGTTGAGGAAGATCTAGAGAAGTCCAATCAAAGTCAGATGTCTGAAGGGGAGATTGATGACTTCTGAATAGAGAAGAAAAGTAATCCTGAATTACATCCCTAATATCATGTTGAATTACATCTTGTTAGTTGTTATCTTATAAATACATTGTTTCAATCCTTAAGCCACATTGTATGTAGTTATGTACTCAAAATCAATTTTTAAAATTTTAGGTACAGAGTATATTATTTGTATCCATGACACGAAAAATGACAAGAAATTATCTTCGTAACTTAATTTTTACCAAATCAAAACAACTTTTACTCGTTCTTCAAAAAAAAAAAAACAACTTTTACTCGTAGCTTCTATTTTTATAAAAGAAAATGAATTTCCTAGGATAATAACTATTTTTTCGCGTGAAACTAAATTCTAAACATGGAATATAATATTTACGAATTACAATTGATTTCGCTGTTTCGTTACTTTTTCCCACTTAATACAACTAATTAATTATTTTTCATTGGTTAAAACTAAATTTTATTGATAAAAACGGATTTTTACTGAAAAATAATCTATATTTAACTAATGCCACCAAATAATAGTCATCAAGCAAGCAAAATGCACCCTTACTCCCCTCCCTAAATAAATATATATATAAATAAATAAATAAATAAATAAAAGAAAAGCAAAAGAAAAAGAAAAAGGCAAATTAAAACAAAATAGAGATTGGAAAGTAAGCAATTAACCAAAAACCTAAACAAAAATTGACTATAAAACATCTATACAAACTCTCTCTCTCATCATCACTTGCTCTACTCTCACTTCCCACCACCCACCTCTCTCCTACTTCTCTCTTTCTCTCTCTAGTCTAGTGCCACAATACTTTCTGTTCTCTTCTACCTTGCTAGAAAGAAAACAGCAAGTATTGTTTGGCACAAAACTCAGAAGAAAGAAGAGATTTATACATACATAAATTTAAAAAAATTAATAAAAATATCCCCCAAATCATCCTCTCAAAAACTCCATTTCATCCACATTGTCAATTTCTCAAGAAATTACTCTGCTTTTTGTAAAATCCCCTGTTTTTTTAGCCCCAAATCCCCTGTTTTGAACCCAAAAATCCCTTCTTTTTTTTAGCCCAAAATCCCCTGTTTTAGGGGTAAAAATGGCGGATTTAATCCAAGATCAGCTGTTACAAGCAAGGGGAGATTTATCATTTCAATTAGGATTAATGTGGGAAACAATAAAAGCACCATTAATTGTACCAATGCTTAAACTTGGTGTTATTATTTGTTTAGCAATGTCATTGATGTTGTTTATGGAAAGGCTTTATATGGGTGTTGTAATTGTATTGGTTAAGTTGTTTTGGAAGAAGCCTGAAAAACGTTATAAATGGGAAGCTTTACCAGATTCTATTGATGATATTGAAACTGGCGGCTCAAATAAGTTCCCTCATGTTCTTATTCAAATCCCTATGTTCAATGAAAGAGAGGTATAATTATTTCATACCCCTTTTTTTTTTTCTAATGTTTGTGTTACTTGAATTTGGGAATTTTCTAACTAGCTTTTTAGCAATAGTTCAATTGGTAATGTGTTGGAGGTGGTGTCTGAAATTCGGATCGAATTCCGTCTATATCAATGTTAATGTGGGTAGACAAAATTAAAGTTACCAATAGCTCAGTTGGTGACGCCTTTGAGGTGATTTCTAAAATTGAGATCAAATCCCGTCTATATCAACATTTCTCTGGCTAGAAAAACAAAAAAAAAATTCTAAGAGAAGATTTATGCATCATGGTAGACTTTTTCTTTTAGGTTCACACAAATCATGGTAGATGTTGCCTTGACTTGGTGCGGTGTTAGTGCCACTTGGTTGATTTGGTTTTGATAGTTGTGTAATTAAAGAAAAGCTGCCACTTTTTCACAATTTAAGTTAATTAAATAATTAATTATGATTAGTAAATATATTAATTTATTTAATGCATAATTTTGGTAATTTTGTGTAGGTGTACAAAGTATCAATTGGTGCGGCTTGTAACCTTTCATGGCCGGCTGATCGAATGGTGATCCAAGTACTTGATGACTCAACTGATCCGGTTATCAAGGTAAAAATGATTTGGGCATTTTCGTAATTTAATGCCTAGTCTAGTACAATAGTCACTATATTAGTGTACTAGGAATACAACTGAATTCTGTTTTTTCCTTAAATAGGTTTTGTCTATTACATCATTTCCTCTTTTTCATTTAATATTATCGGCGATTTATTAGTCATTGTTACAATTTTAATTAAAATAAAATGTTTGGTAGATGAGTAAGACAATGTGTTAATGCCAAAATTGTAATCTAATTGTCATAAACCATGATTGATACAGGTTTGTACTTAATTATTAGTAGCAAATAAAGCGTTACTTTCTCTTTCGCATTAAATTTATCATTCCGAATTTAGTAAGACTATTGATTTGTGTTTTCAACTTGAATTACCCTCTTTGATCATAACTTAATTTTCTTAGATATTAAGACGATATTTTTCTTTTTTAGAAAAAAGCCGGTAATTACCATACCCATAACTTTTAATTAGTTGAAAGGTATGAAATTTGTCAATTTGATTAGAATGTACTTAATAAACTAGCTTTAAGAGTTAACTAAATTAGGCCTAATCTCTAAGCCTATATTGCCGTTTCTATGACATGACATTTTTGCGTTTTCTTGTACGGGAAAAGTAAAATGTGATTTAATCTGTAAAATTCGATATAATTTGCTGCTTTTTTTAGTTGTAATCATTTCACTAAGATAATCCACAAATTTTTATTGAATTACATCTTTGCACTCCACTAAAGTTTTTGCGTTATGTTGCTAAATTTGAGACATTGTCAATATTTTATTTACAGGATATGGTGGAATTAGAATGCCAAAGATGGGCTAGCAAAGGGCTTAATATAGTGTACCAAATTAGAGAAAATCGTGTCGGTTACAAAGCTGGTGCTCTTAAGGAAGGTTTAAAGAGGGACTATGTCAAGCATTGCGAGTACGTTGCAATTTTTGACGCTGATTTCCGGCCGGAGCCCGATTATCTCCGACGAGCAATTCCATTCCTAATGTACAACCCTGAATTAGCTCTTGTTCAAGGACGGTGGAGATTTGGTAAGTACATAGATTCTAACTCACCTATAAGCTTCTTAATAGTGTCTGATATTGATACGTGACTTGTGTTCTTGTCCAAGTGTTAAACTCGATTTTTAAAGAAATTTCTTAGTGCCAATATGTTCATATCTATTAATGTGCGTTGAGGATGTGACACACTGACACACACGAATAAAATAGTGAATATTATTACTATATTATACGTCTAGACTAGTATAGTCTTATACCCCGCACAAATAATTACGATTAGTGACCATCTACCTTATTTTTTCTCTATAACGAGAAACTGTCGGTGGACTGTTAACTTCTTTGCTAAAAAAATTGCATATTTTTATTATTTTTCTGTCTTTTTATTAACTTTTATATGCTTTTGGAAAATGCCACCAATCTTTTCAATATTTGTGTAATTTTACATTGTTTGAGAACATAGGGATGTGGTGGGGGTAAAGTTTACACTTTGGGAAAGAATAGCATACAAAAAGAAAAACAAATAAAAAAGAAAAGAACAAAAATGAAAAATGAAATTGTTTGTTTAATACACGAGAAAATACTAGGAGTTTCTTTCTCAATCGAGGTACCCACCAATCACGGGATATTTCCTACTCTAACGGGTTTGATGATGGTACTCAATTTGTTTTATAGCCATACTAATCAATTATCAACTCATAGACTTATGACTATGTATGTAATTAGCGCTCGTACGGAGGGGTACCTAATGTAATTTTGTCTACAGAAAAGTAATAGTTAATCGTGTGGATTTGAAAAGAATTAATTTGAGAATGAATGTGATAGGAGTAGAACAAAGATTAGATGTAAAAGAAGTTGATTGAACCAAGTTTTGAGCTAGTTTATTTAGCACCGACAAAAACAACCATCAACTTAAGCAACAGAAGTCTATTTGTTGGTCGAACAAGTCAAGTGAATATAGTATTATCTATGAGGCAACGTTGAATATTGAAGAATCGAGTCAGAACTAGTAAATGGTGGAGAGTGTAGTAGTTAAATTAGAAAGTGACAGTAATACTATGAAATTACAACTAATAAGATCACAATAATTTAAACAAAGAGATTAAGGACTAATAAGAATCTAAATGTTCCCAAGGGGCCAAGCTGTAATATGCTCAAATCTTTTTTGCTGCTCTATCTCCAATGTGTAGATTTTAATTTATAAACAATCTCTTGAACATAATGGTCATTATATTACAACTTTTAATGCATGTAGTGCTACTAATTGATTCTGATTAAAGGTATAATTAAAGTGTCCTCTTTCTTTTTCTTCACTCTAAAGCTTGATTAAATTAAGATTTACATGCCACCGGACCACTCTCCATTAACTTGCTCTTCTCTTCTTATCTTCTCATTTCTGCTATATTTGTTGTAAATTGTGATCAACCCTAAATTTCTGGGGTAAGGTTTGTCTTTTAGCATAACAATCCATGGTACTATGTTATGCCTACATTACCTTTCTCCCCCCTTGGCTATTTTTTGTCGGTTCATATGAGGTGGAATGAAACTACAATAAATTATCCTGAGTACAATATGCGGTATAAGTTATTATAATTCCGTCTCATATCATATTAAAATTTGATAAATTTATCTTAAGGGTTTGTTTATTTCAGCTTATTTCAATTCAGTTCAGTTCCTAATTTTCCTCTCTCATAAAATATTCAGTTCAGTTCAGCTCTAATCAGTTTAGTTTAGTTCAGTTCAGTAAATGTTGACATGCTCTAAATCAGCTTTGATAATATAATCATGAGTGATAGTCTTAGTTTCAGTTCAATTTAGTGCAATTTCAATCAGTTTAGTTCTTAATTTTCTTCTCTCATAAATAATTGATTTCATTTCAGTTCAACTCTGTTCAGTTTAATTGTTTTCACTAAATCAACACAAGCCCTAACTCTACTAATATGTCTGACATAGCTTTTCGCGCGCACAAGGGTTGTTTAACCCTTTTGTTAAAAAGTCAAGTTCTCGGACAACCCAATTCCCCGCAAAAATCAAACTTTAATAACACCAATTATTACAAGTATGAAATTTTCTCAAATACTAGTACATACTCTGTATTTCTCAATTAATACACATAAAAAACAACTTTTTCTTTCTTGGCAATAAATTTACCTTTTAGAATTACACCTATACAGTACGGATAAAAAAGAAGAAGGGTAGTTGGTCAACGAAGGGATAAAAAAAAAAAAAGGTAATGAAATCTAGAGTGGTAGAGCAGTTGGACAGCCCCACAAGCACGTGGTAAAATAGCATCTATTTGCTGAGCTATTACTTGCTTACTGACACTTTCTCAATCACTCTGATTAATAACAGCCAAATTTGGTAGACCCCACTCTGTCTCCGCCGACACTACCTGTCCTAAAGTAATGGTGTTCCACCATTTTAATAAATCACAATTAGGTTTCAATAATTGCTGTGGATTTGGTGTTTTTTCTTTAGAATCTTATGCCATTGTAATTTTAGTTTATTATGATCATGTGTTACGCTTAACTATGTAAATATAAATGTCACTTATCACTATGTATGGTAGAGTAAACTTTATAATATGTGCACTTTTGAGCGTGGTAGTTATTACAGAGTAGTGGATTTGTTGAAACTTTAATTTATCAGTGGTTAATTAATTTAACAAGTAATTTTACATTGATATTGAGGTGTGATGATAAAAATAAAAGTCAAGTAAATATGTAATGAACGAAACACTATTACTACTTAAGAGCAGTGTCATGTCGTCATGTAATGTGTGAGTTGCGTTACCAAATAATTAGAGCCTATTTTGATTTTGCTGAGTTGAAATGAATTGTTTATGAGAAAAAGAAATTAGGAACTAAACTGAATTGATTATGGCTGAACTGAACTAAAATTAAGCTGAAGTAAACAGGCGCTTACTAGATTACGTATCTGGACATTAGAACATTTTACTTCTTGTTTGTTGTCTAACTATTTGCTAACGCAAGTAACTTATGGATTTCTTAATTGGTTACACACTTATGCTAATCCAATTTAACATGGTTGATTTACAGTGAACGCAAACGAATGCCTAATGACGAGGATGCAAGAGATGTCACTAGACTACCATTTTAAGGTGGAACAAGAAGTGGGGTCTTCAACTCATGCCTTCTTTGGATTCAATGGTAATTTCCAACTTTCTTGTTCCTCCCATTACTTAGCCATTTGTTACACCTGACACAATTCAGGAACTGCTATATACTGCCTCATTTATGATACGTCACGTGACACGTTTCACCCAGAATATCAAATCTCGCAATCATAGGTTAACTTATCACACTTGTATAAAAATATAGAAAAAAATAATAATAAAATTAAATGTTTATAGGTATTATTAATATCGAAATTGAGTATTCAAGAAGAAGTGGACATTTAGTTTAAAGTAATGTGGCAGCATAATTAACAGCCTTTGATTGTTAGTTTTAGTACTCAACAAGGACATAATTTTAATTGGTTTAGAGTATGTAGTAGTGTTTGATACTCAATGTATAATAGCACAATATTGAAATTGGTTGGAAAAAACACTATGTTATATTAAAAAAAATGAACAAGGCCTCCTATGTATCATATGGACTACGGAGTATGAAGTATCTACCTTTAATTTCGGATATTTTGAAATTTGATTATTGGCTAATTTTTCTAGTAGCATTATTAACCAACCAATTAGATAATATGAAAACTTAAAATTTCCATTTGCTCAGTACTAATAGTGTTCTTAACAATGCCCCGTATGATTGATCTTGTTGTTTACGAGGCTGGAGGCTTATTGCCTAAGTGTAAAAATGTTCTTACCTAAGTCTAATTATACTAGTAATTGGTTAATAAAAATACATTTTTTGAGAAAATTTTATTGAAAATATTGATGACATTTAATTGAGTATGATGTTTTTGCGTAATGCAAGTGTTCAAGCCAGCAAGGATGGGCATTCTGACAAGAATGAATCATTTTAAGAAAAGTTTGCTGACAATTATAAACCTTGACAGAAATATTGATTGGGTTAAATTATAATATGAATATCATAAATATACTCTGTATTAATTATAAGGATTTTAATGCAGGAAATGAAATCAATTCTTTAAATGAGGAGATATTAGGCACAACATGTTTATGCAAAAAATTGACATTTATTAACCCTGCGCCTTTCCAAAATTGCAGGGACTGCTGGTGTATGGAGGATAGCTGCCATTGATGAGGCAGGAGGGTGGAAAGATCGAACTACGGTTGAGGACATGGATCTTGCTGTTCGAGCTAGTCTTCGTGGATGGAAATTTGTTTATCTCGGTGATCTTCAGGTATAATTCTTATTTGAATTTACTCTATGAACATAATAACAAGCCCTTAATTTACATGTATAAATTATAAACTCGAGAGCAATATGGAATTTAATCAACGGATCAAACTCTATGAGCATAATTAGATGGCCAATACAAATAGTGTAACATTAGAAAATTGATAATGTGGTCATTTATTTTACTTGTTAAGCATCATGCTATAGAGAATATCTTTATTTTCTTTGTTTAGATTAGTCCGGTTTTAATCTTGAGAGAATACTGTTTTAACTGTGGTGTATTTTCCTCTGTAAAATTATGATCAGGTTAAAAGTGAATTGCCAAGTACCTTCAAGGCTTTCCGCTTTCAACAACATCGATGGTCTTGTGGCCCTGCTAATCTCTTCAGGAAAATGGTCATGGAGATTATCAGAAATAAGGTCAGCATTCAATCAGTTTATACAGAATAAAATCGATTATATTAGCCTTAATCATACTCCGTAGTTAGCTTCTTTTGATCATTTCGTATATTCATAGAAATCTTGGTTTTGCAGAATGTGAGATTCTGGAAGAAAGTGTACACAATCTACAGCTTCTTCTTAGTGAGAAAGATCACAGCTCATATGGTCACCTTTTTCTTCTACTGTATTATTCTGCCTTTGACAATACTCATTCCTGAAGTCGAAGTCCCGATTTGGGGATCAGTTTATATCCCTTCAGTTATCACCATCCTCAACTCTGTTGGAACTCCAAGGTCTAGTACTAGCTCAACATTAATTTCTGTCAACGACTTTCGTTATCTTTGATCTTTCACTTACAATCTGCTATAAAATATAAAATGCAGGTCAATTCACCTACTGTTTTACTGGATCTTGTTTGAGAATGTGATGTCCTTGCATCGGACTAAGGCCACACTCATTGGCCTCTTTGAAGCAGGCAGGGCAAACGAATGGGTTGTCACTGAGAAGCTCGGAGATTCTCAGAAAAACAAGGGGAATGCCAAAGAGAAATCAGCCGGGGTAAAAGCTGCAGTAAGGAAAGCGCGATCCAAGATCCTAGACAGGTAAAACAACATTGTTTCTTTTTTATGAACCGAACAATAAGCAAATGACTTTTCCTTTCACCTCAAAGTACATTAATCTGTCGGTTTCCTAATCAAGAATCATTGCTAACATGCTCTTGATCGATGTAACAATTTTGACAGAATGAATTTCTTGGAGTTGATAGTTGGAGTATTCCTCTTCTCCATCGGATGGTACGATTTTCTATATGGCAAGTGGAGCTACTACGTTTACTTCTTCCTCCAAAGCATCACCTTCTTCATCGTTGGCTTTGGCTATGTTGGCACCTTCGTATAGTCTTGTTCAATCCTTCAAGAAATGTCACTCTATGGTCTAATCAAATACCACATTTGCACAAATTTCATGTTGTCGCTTTCCTATAAACATTGGATGCTCGTTTGATTGTGCATAAACAGTCGTGTTTATTGCATTCGACAAATTGTTAGTGCAAGTGTCTTATCTTATTGCACGACTTAAATGGGTCGCTGTAATAATCCAGAAATATATATATAGGATCATTTTTCTTTGAATCGCGACATAGCATTCAGAAATCAGAAGCACAACGAGCAGGAAGAAGAGCATAGAAGGAATAGAGAAACAGATGAATGATTGTTTTTTTTTTTTTTTTTTTTTTTTTTTTTTTGGCTGGAAGATGTTTGGAATTTCTGTGGAATCACAAGTATTTTAGTTATTGTATGTTTGTTTATCATGATTGTTAGTTTTGTTAAGGAGTTGTATGGTAAAAAACAATAAGATTAGTATAGTATTGTCTAAGTTATAGGGTACTACAAGAAGTTCTACAAGATTTGGAGCAATATATTGATAAATGTCAGTATAGTTCATTCAGTTAATTCACTCAAAATGGTTGTAATCTAGCACTTTTTTAAGGCAATATATCCCGGAAATTGACCTTTGTTAATTTTGGTTCATTGAAAAACACATCGTATCTAACCTTGCTTCGTTCGTTGTTTGTGTGTGTGGATTTAGTGCATGGCCATTCCAAATTCCGGCAACCATGCATGCCCAAGTCAAGAAGTATCAATCAAGTCCCTTTAATTGGGTGATCACAAGCATTCAAAGTATTATGAACTTAGCCTCAATTATGCACGGTTAGGCTTAAAACGGGTAATGGAAAGAAATACTTACGGAAAAAAGTCAACTAATTATTGATAGTTGCAAATTTGGTTATCGATCTTTTGAAGCAAAAATGTATGTAGACTTGGGAGTTTACTACAGGGGATAAATAGCTCCGACAATAATTCCAACATAAACAGTCCCATGTGTAGGTGCATACACTTGGCGATGCATTGCATAACTATCGGGCTTAAGGAACATGAAATATTCTGGAGTTTGGGTTGTGGTTTGGGCCCTTGGAGGTTTTCTTTGGGCTTTGGATGTTCGCAGTTTGACTTTGAGGGTTTGCGGATTTGATTTTAGTGTTTAGACCTCGGTTTAGAGCTTTTAAGGGGGTTTTTCAGGGCTAGGTAAATGATATGGGAGTTCAGAGGCCCGCAATGGACATCTATCAGTCATTGCTCGCTTGATTCAGACCCATTAGGTGCTAAAATGGGGGACTATTTTAAGTGTTAACACCTTCACAGGTAATTAAAAAACTCCCAGCTCCGTCTCGGTCGGCATTGCTTTCAAAGGGTAAACACTAAGTAAGCGGATTTGAACACTCCTAAGAATTAGCCTAACTAGCATTCAAAATAGACCCTTGGCCTTAGGCATAGTATTTGCCACTAGGATGATTAAAACAAAGACTAGGACAACTCAATTGCCTCTCCGTTTTGTAGGCCTAAGAATAAGCTTCATCAAATGACTAGTAATGCTGCAATTCAACTTGATTGTCAATAGGTTTTTTGTCCGCTAAGAATAAATTTATCGGTCTTTTTTTCCTCCCATATTTTCAATCACAAGCCAATGATAAGCATTCAAACTCATTCACAAATTCATTAACACTTATAGATCAGTTTTGTTTTAAAAAAAATAGATTAGTTTTGTTGTAATGATTAGGTGAGCATTCGAACTAAAATAAAATTTATAAGCTCTAAACAAATTTCTTATGCATCTTAACTAAAAGATTAGTCCATGAGTTAGTATCAGATTTCTTGGTACAACACTATCAAACAAGCCTACTACCTACTTAGTTAATTTAAGGATAACAAAGAGCCTTAAAAATTAAGTACCTTTATGGTTGAATAAAACATCACAACAAGTCTCCGAATGAAGATAAGCCTCCAAATCTTAAAGTCTTATCTCTTATTCCTCTTTTGATAAGAACAAAAAGTACTTTTAAAGAGACAAACTTCAATGTTTTGGGAGTTTAATGCAAAAAGAATCATTACATATATAAGTCAAAGTATATATACAACTCGCAATGACTCGAAACTTTCAGTCACTAAGATTTATGCAAATACATAGCACTTGAAAAGTCATGCCTTGTTAATATATAGAATGCGATTTTGAAAAAGTAAAAACGTTTCCACATAAAATAAAGACGAAAAAATCCATTTTTTAAAAAATGAACTATCTTCGTAGCTTTTGGAACGAATCAGAATTATCGAAGATTATTCTGCTTTTGATCATGCTTGATTCCGACCTCTATTTGGATCGTGAATAAGAGAGTCAATTTTGCTAGCTCTGATGCCAATTAGATGCATAATAAAAGTAAAATTTGAATATGTTTGTTTATGGTGGTTGTATTAAAATGACAAATTTATTAAAGTAACAAGATAAAATTTAAAGGTCATAGTTTTAAAAGAATATTATATTTTGTTCATTTTTAATCTTAATAGTCATCATATACTAAAAACACGAAGAAACAATTAAGTATATTGTAAAAACGAGACACCGAATGTAGAAGTAAATAATTATTTAAGTAAAATAAAGTCTTGGATGCTCTTTTTAGTCCGATGAAAATGAGTCTGGTGTTACCTAGAACATTCTAGAGCTATCTTCAGTTGAGTGGTAGATTGAAGGTTAATCATGTTATCAAAGAACATTAAAAACATCATGCATTTCCAACCCATTTTATAATTTAAGGCCGGTGAAAATGACACAAATGGAAGAAGTATATGACAATTACAACAAACAAAATATCAAGATAGCTAAAGATTAATAAGCTAGCTAGAATAGTCATCATTACGGATGGCAATGGGTCGGGTTCACTGAGACCAGCACCCAGACCCAAAATTTTAGAGGTGGATCCAGATCCGACCCAGACCCATCGGGTCTAAAAAAAAGGAGACCCATACCCAAAATTTTAGAGGTGGATCCAGATCCGACCCAGACCCATCGGGTCTAAAAAAATGAGACCCAGACCCAGATCTATCGGGTCTAGCGGGTCTCAGGTATAAAACGGGTCCAACTACAATTTTTATAATTTTTCATAATCTTTTATATATATATATATATATATGTATATATATATATATATATATATATATATATATATATATATACTACTACTACTACTATATATATATACACTACTACTACTACTAGTACTTGATATAATAAAAGATGCATAGTAAAAAATTGTTCATATTTTTTATACACAAATAATTTGTTCATTATAAAGTAAAGACAATGCATGAAGAATAAAAACTTAAAAATTAAGATTCTTGGTTGCTTGTTGTTTTGGTGACGTACTTTCTCTAAAATCTATCTTGTCAACCTCTAATTACGTAGTATATTACTAATCTAATATATCTAATTAAGTGGTTTATTTTAATATTAGAATAAAAAAAATAAAAAAATAAAAATTAAAACCGGTCTATGGGTTAGGTCTGGGTCCAAAAAGTTTAGACCCGGACCCAGACCCGACCCATTAAACTTAGACCCAGACCCGACCCAGATCCATCGGGTCTAAAATTTAAGGGATTTGTTAAACATCGCCCACAAATTATTACATAAAGCCCACAAAATTCACTTGGTTTGACAATATTGCCCTTGACCTAAAAAAAAAACACTCACACTCTCATCACTCACACTCTCATCGATCATCTTCTTTCAACCTCTCTAAAAAAAATAAAATTTCAAACAACGGCAATGTCGAGGCGGCAAGGCAAGGAATTGGCGGCGACGGCGGAGGGAAGGAGGTCCCAAGGAGGCAAGGTACAATTTGTAAAAAAAAAAAAAAAAAAAAAAAAAAAAGGAAAAACCGCCGTGACGGAGGTGGGGCGCCCTGGCTGGACGCCCAGCCAGCGGTGGTGGCGCCAGCTGCAGACGCCGCCACCAGTAGGCTGGCGCCTGGGCTGGACGCCATAGCCACGGTTGTGGCGTTTATTCAAGGCGCCGCAGCCGTGGCTGTGGCGTCTAGCCCAGGCGCCAGCCCACTGGTGGCGGCGTCTGCAGCTGGCGCCACCACCGCTGGCTGGGCGTCCAGCCAAGGCGTCCCCCCCTTTTTTTTTTTCTTTTTCTTTTTTTTATATTTGTTTTAAAATATTGTTTTTTTTTTTTTTTTTTTTTTTTTGTGTAATATCTTTTTGAATTGTTTTTATATTTTGTTGTTTATTTTTATAAATTTTTTCAATTTTGTTGTATTTTTTCTATGTTTATATTTTGTTTACAATTATTTGTTTGTTTTTTTTGTACATTTTTATTTTTATTCTCTATTTTGATTTGTTTTTAAATTTTTTTGTGACTTTGATATTGTTTTTGGTTAGTTAATTTATTTTAAATTTTATTATTGATATTGTTTTTGGTTAGTTAATTTATTTTAATTGGGAATGAATTATTTATGTTTATATATATTCTTCTGTGTTGGTTTTATTTCCTTTCTAAGTGTATTTTTTATTCTATTATTTTTATTTAAGTGTTTTGTTAATTTCTTTATTATGTTAATTTGTTAGTATGTTTTTAGTTTATTTGATTTGGGTAGTGGTAGCTATTTTTCGTATAAATTTTTGTATGTTTATATATTTTAAAATTTTGTGTAGAATTCACTGGGTCGTCATGGTGCGGGGAATAATGTAGAGCTTCTTAGTAGAAGCTATTCAGTGGAGAGGTCGGGGCATAGACATGTCAGATCCCGTGGTATTTCGGCCTCAGCTCGTAGAGAACGGATCCACCGTCGGGATGAGGATGACGATGACGATGATGATGCTGAGGAGGGTGACCAGGAGGAGGAGCAGGAGGAGGGCGCAAATGAGGATGAGGATGTGGACGATGGCAGTGGACCGTATGATGATTACGGTCCATTCAGTCAGAGGGTTGATGACATGTACGAGACACATATGGTGGAGGTGCGTAAGGGTAGGGGTGGTAGGTTTGTTAGTAGATCTGGCACATCATCTGCGTCCACTGTATCTGGGGCAAGCAGGAAACGATCGAGGGCCGGTAATGATTCTTGGGTTGTTAGGAGTGAGCCCGGTGGGCCTGTTGACGGGAGTGTGATTCCTAGCTTTCTAGGACACATAGCTGCCCGTATTTGGGAGGACCAGGAGAGGCCTTCAGTTACGGGGTTGTTGAAATGTCATACCCGGGAAAAGACTTGTAGTTTTTTGCGTACATGGGCTGAGGCTTGGCCGGCGGAGAGCGAGATGTTCGAGCGACTGGAGGGCACTGGGGTGAATCACGTTCCTGCCACCATGCACGATAAGATTGACAGTACGCTGATCACGGCTTTCATTGAGCGATGGCAGCCGGATACAAACTCTTTCCACCTTCCGTTCGGTGAGATGACGATCATGTTACATGACGTCGAGGCCATTCTGGGGATTCGTGTTGAGGGTAAACGACTTTGTGCTGTGGCTGATGCGGATCAGGCAGATTTGCTGGCGGAGTTGTTGGCGGTGGACAGGGTTGCACTGTACACCGAGGCGCTAGGTGTTTGGGAACACGGAGGTGTGAAGATCGCATCCGTGTTGCAGCGGTGTTTGTACCCCAGTGCACGTAGGACGCACGACGCACAGCTGAGTGCT